CCTTCTAGAACTCCATGTGCAGTCATCAAAATGTTCTCTTTTATTTACATTTAGAAAATAAAGTAGCACAAATCTAGTCTTAGTACCATGAAAACTAAGTTCTATATTTTTCCTCTAGAAGAGCACCAAACACATTTTTCTGTTGTAGTACAGAGACTACAAGATGGGAAATCATGAGAAATCTTAAATAAATTTAATTTTTAAAAATAGAGAGAATAAAAAGTATTAGTTCTATATGGTATTCTTTACCTTCAAGAATAAAAATGCTTAAAGAATAAAACAGCACAGAAAAATATATAAGCACATAGCCTGCTCTATTTGATAATCAAAACATAAGTTCTAAAATATTCTAATTGATTTGAAAGAGACTTTAGAGGCAATAATACCCAGCATGAACACAAAAGTCTATAGATGTGAAGAGGTTTGTTTCTGGTTTTCTTTCTACTGAGAAACATAATGTAACATGTACTCACTTCAGTGAATTCAAAGAAGCAAGATATAAATAATTCACCATCTACATTTTTAAACATATCATATGAAATAATGAAAACACCACACTAAACAGTACCTCACTGAATCCTTGAGGAATATAACAAGGCTTATTCCTACTGACTTTTCGTTTATCAGTTTCCCTTGGTATATGCTGAGTAATAATTCTATCCGCTTATGAAACAGGTTCACTTTAACTAGTTGGATCCTACAACAAAACTAAACAAATTAGCAATTTGTACTGTTTGTTGCAGGACTAAATAGTATAGTTTCTCCCCCAAGCATATATAGTTCCAATCACTATTTACTACCCTGCAGAAAAGCAAATTGTAACTGCTCATGCACCATGGGGCTTTCCTGCCCCCAACTTGCAACTGCCTGTGCTCCTTAAAAAGCTACTTTTGAGAGAGTTGGAATATGACAATAGGGAAGGGAAATTGGAGATATTTGGGGAGAGACAGCTTGCACAGGCAGAACTCTGCTTGTTTTTCTCCAATTACTCCTTCCACTGCAGAACCCAGGGCCACATCCCAGGTCTTTCTCAAGAGCTTTCTCAACCCTCAGGAGAGGCTTTTGAGGGCTGTGGCATAAGTGAGTTCCATTCATCCACTCTTTAGATCCAAGCCTATACATCTTCCCTTTGTAGAGTTTGATGTTATTCTACTGCAAGACACAGATGATAAAGATATACAAACACAAATAGCAACAAAATGCTCAGGGACCTTACAGATGTCTGTCACTCTGACTGGACATTTTAGACTGTTCGGTGATCACAGCAAATAGAAGCACTATAAAGGGTTATCTTCCAATTCACATTCCTGGAGAATATATTGTATTATTGGCCTCTATGGTGGTAAGTTTTGATTCAGCTCGCAATAAAGCAATTTAGGAAACCAATTTTGTAGTTTCCCCAGTCTTTAACAACCCAATTTTTCTGACAGTTCCTGCCCAATGCAATAAACTCCCATGGAAACTACATAGAACATAAATGATTATTTAATCTAAAGGCTATAGGAGAAAAGTTATTGTGTTAATTTAATATATAATAACTACATTTGTGTTACATTTGCTAAACAATTGTGTGCATTATATACACCTTGAGTGGTTTTACTCTTAAACATGCTTTAAAAAAAAGGAGACGTTTTATTGTTTTAAATTTTTTTTTGTAAGCTGCCTTGTAAGGGGTGCTCTTGAAAACCAAGATATAAATACATTAAATAAATAAGCTAATTCTACTGGAAATATTGAATAAATAGACATATAGAACTGCACATGAATCTCTTTTATGCAAAGGTGAAACAAGGAAAACTTTTGTCTTTTAGACAAAGATCTTTCCCTTACGTTTTTTTAATCCACTCACAAATCCCAGCAACAGAGTTGTGAGAAGCTCAGTAGTGAGAATGTGAGCAGCTGCTGTTATTAGAACTAAAAAGTCTGTCTAGTGCTTGAGACTGAGAGACCACATGTTCGGCTGTCCTCTCATCTTGCCATCCTCACCAATTAACTATTAACATGGAGGGCTGGACACATGCTCTTGGGGGCTCTTTAACAGGCTTCTTGGAGACTGGAACAACTACACAGCAGGGCTCTGGGAACTGAGTAATGTGGGATATAGGAAAACCTCAGCCGCTTTGCTCCTCCTGATGACAGTTTGCTCTACAGTTTAAGCATTCTGTTAAGCTACTGCTTAATGGAAAGAGCATGCTTGAGGTTTAACCATTGCTAGCTACATTTAATGTTACTACTGTGGCAAATACATCAAAATTAATACAACACATTTCTTCACTAAGCCTAGCCAAAGGTGACACACAGGGTTTTAATATTAAATCTGCAAAATGCTGGGGAAAGTGTGTGTGTGTGCAGGGGAAACCAAATATTTAAGTAGGAGAATAAATCAGCTGCTAGCAATTGGAAATGCAGCATTCTTTGCTATTATAAAGTTATTTTACTTAAGTTAATAATGCATGACGTCTTTACTATTTGTCCATACCAATATTAAATTTCTATTACTTAGATTATGAATGTGTGTAGTCTTTCAAATTTGTTAATACAGTGGTACCTCAGGTTAAGTACTTAATTCGTTCCGGAGGTCCGTACTTAACCTGAAACTGTTCTTAACCTGAAGCACCACTTTAGCTAATGGGGCCTCCTGCTGCCGCCGCGCTGCCGGAACACGATTTCTGTTCTCATCCTGAAGCAAAGTTCTTAACCCGAGGTACTATTTCTGGGTTAGCGAAGTCTGTAACCTGAAGCGTATGTAACCTGAAGTGAATGTAACCCGAGGTACCACTGTACCAATATTAATATTTGCAACTGAAAACCGTGGGCTTCAACTAATTGAATGTGGGAACATAGTCTATAGAGCCTTGTTTTTCCCATCTTCTGCCAGCTCAAGGAGCTCAGGTGCACCACAAGCAGAGCCAAGGGGCCACTGCAGGGAAGGGAGTTTTCTGTGCACATCCAATCTCTCCATCTTGCCCCTTACAACATGTGAATTACTTATGCTCACTTCAAGAGTAACTTGAATGATGCAGAAATAGGGATTCAACAGGAATGGAGGAGTCATGCATGGACCTCCAATACCTTGCAGTGCTGCCTTCCAGACCACTTTTATGTGCTCATATTAGCAGGGCAGAAGGAAAACAAGGCTGAATTAGTTCCTTTTGGGATTCCTATGTACACATGCTGCTCCTGTTCTTAACTGAATCAAGTCCTATAAGTACAAAACTTGAATATTCATCCTTAGCCAACCCAAAATGTATTTGTTTTATAGAATGGCTGTTACAATGTATGCTACATATCTCTTAACTATCCATTACAAAGAGACCAAATTTGCAACAGAACCAATTGTTTTAATTTTGGGGCAATGCAATACAAAAAGTGCTCAAGGGCTCTGAAGTCATACTGGTGTGATATACATTTCAAAAATAAATAAAAATATTCTGTCTAGGGCTATTCAAAATCCACTAGCAAGATCAGTTAGGAAACAGTCAGAAACATGCTATGTGAATGGATACCTCAGGATTAAATTCCTTCTCTCCATCTGTAATGCCCTGCACAGTTTAAATGCAACTACGTCAAAGCCCTCTTTAACTTTAAACCTAAAATATCCAAGGTTGTTCCCCTTATCTCCATGTAACTAATTTTATCAAATAAAGTATTAGACTGGCCTTGAAATATTTTTCTTTATTAAACCATATAGGCTGCTTATCACTATTTCAGAAATTAAAAGTGCTAATATACTGTTAGTATTTGCTCCAATAGTTCCCAAATTCAGAAATCAAGCATAAAATTTGTATTTCCTTGTCTACTGTGCTTCACACATAATACTATGCTAAATCATGGTTTAGTATGGACAAGCTTACATGTAAGCACTCTTTGCTCCTCCTCAATTGTTTTATTGCTGCACTGAGCTAAACAGTGGTTTGGCTTAGTGTGTCATATGAACATGGGCTTGTGGTTTAGCTCTCTCCAGAAACATCATAAGCTGAACCAAGGATTGTCCTATGGTTTACAGCTTGTGGTTTGTCTGGAGAACAGCCATACAGTGGTATCTCGGGTTAAGAACTTAATTCGTTCCGGAGGTCCATTATTAACCTGAAACTGTTCTTAACCTGAGGTACCACTTTAGCTAATGGGGCCTTCTGCTGCCGCCACGCGATTCCTGTTCTCATCCTGAGGAAAAGTTCTTAACCCGAGGTACTATTTCTGGGTTAGCAGAGTCTGTAACCTGAAGCGACTCTAACCTGAAGCGTCTGTAACCCGAGGTACCACTGTATCATGAGCCCATATTCCAATGACATGCTAAGCAAAACCACTGCTTAGTTCAGTGCAGTATAGCAGGAATTAGTGGGGAGGTGGAAAAGCATGTTTGCTTGTTCTCACAAAGTCATGTTTTGGCTTAGTGTTACATGCAAATGAGGGCACTATATTTGCTCTCCCTTCATCTTTTGTGACCATTCCAGTGCTCTATTAATTCTTCAAACTAATATCTAATCAATGTGAGATTCACCCAGCATCTTCAGGATCCTTGAACATATGTCATCATGCTGTACTGTTTCAATTTAATTTAACTTGCACATTCTCCTTTTCTATTCTAACCTCTGGCCATACACATGGGAATGAGCTTGCAATAGTTTGTTAAGTGTAACTTTCCCTTCAAAAATGACTAGCTCCTTAACACCCCATTTCCCCATTTACCACACTTTCTCATAAGACTATGATGGCCTAGAACAACTTTAAATTACATAGTTAAATTGAGTTATATTAACTAAAATAATGATAATGATTTAACACTATATTTGCTACTGAAAAAACACAGCTAATATAAGGTGGACTTTAGCAATTCAATAGCACCACTTTGGCATATTCTGATCATTAAGTATCCATTTAAGTGATTGTCAAAAAAAAAAAAAAAGCAGCATAGAAGTCTTCTAAATAATTTACAATAACTTGACTGTGCTTTTCTTTATGTATCCACCACAATTAAGTTGCACTTAGAATAAGCCTACCTGGATCAGATGAGCTGGAATAGTAATAATGCAGGCAGACAAAGATGTTCTAAGGAGACCACGGAGAGCATACATAAATTTTGTGAGACTATGAATATTTTGTGGATTTTCAGTACTACAAATGTCATCACCCCATAGTACTGAACCAATGCTCTGAATTCCAATCCTCAAAATGTTTCTTTGCTTCTTCTGTCAAATATAAAAAGGTAACATATTTAGTAATATTTGAAACATTGAAAGGAAAGAAATAAACTCTAGAATATCCTTGCTGGGATCGGGGAGCAGGGGGATGAGGTGGAAATGAGAGAAAGGAATAGATGGGTTTATAGGGAAATCCAAGAGCAAAATGCACTGCCACTCACAGGCTTCCCCCTAAGCTGTCCCACAACTCTCCCTGTGCTAAAATCAGATGCCTCAGAAAGCTTCTGTATGATTGTTAAAGTCTCTCATTTCTTTTGAGAGGGTTTTTCAGTCTAGGGAACAGAATGAGCAAGGTGTATTGAGCGAGACCATCACTTGATTGAGGTGGTGCTCAGCTTCAAGCTTGTCTGGATGAATGTGGTTATGTAGAGTCATTTCAAGCTGGTTTCCAGCATTGATTAAGCACTGAAACAACCTTGGTCACCCTGATGGATTACGTTGTTGGTTCTCCTTAATTTCTCTGCAGATTTTGAAAGCACTGACTGCAACGTCTTCCTGGAATGGTTTTATGGGTTAAGAGCATTAGAATATGGTGGTTTCACTCTTATTGACAGAAAGGAAAGTAGAATTGGAAACTTATGCTCAGCCTTTGGCATTTGGGTGGCAGGATTCTGTAGGATTTCAACTGGTCTGGATTTTTTTTTAAAAAAACAACAACTCTATGGAGCTGCCATCCAGGGATCTGAAGCACAATGTAATCAGTATGGGCATAATACACAGCTCTACCATCTGAATCAGGAGAGGGTGTACAAGTGTTGGGGCAGTGTCTGGAAGGAGTAACAGAATAGAAGAGGGCCAAAAATCTGAGTCTGAATCCCAGTAAGACAGAAGTACTGTGGGTGAGCAATTCCATGATTCAGGGTTTCAGAAGTTAGATTGTTTGGGATAAATCTGCACACCCTCAGAAAGAGAAGGGTCGGAGGTGCTCTTAGAGCCACTGTCACTTCAAGTTCAGGTAGCTTCAGTGGCAAGGAGTGTCTAAGCTTAGTGCTTCCTGGATTGGGAGGGCCTAGCTATAAACTGCACATGCTTTGGTAAGCTGTCATTAAGACTACTTCAATGCACTCTACATGGGACTGCCATGAAGAACATCTGGAAGCTGCAGCTGGTGCAGAATGCAGCAGCCTGGTTACTAATTGGCACTGCAAAGTGGATCATTTATCACCAATCCTTAACGTTTTGTACTGGCTGCCTGTTTGCTACTGAACCCAATTTAAGGCACTGACTCTGGTGCATAAAGCCTCTCATTACCTGCAACCAATATGATTGTTTAGCTGGGTCAACTCCCCTATGAGGAAAGGTTACATTTTGGGCTTTTTAGTTTCTATAGAAAGGCAAATGGGGGTGTGGTGAGGACATGATTGATATAGGCGTATAAAATTAAGCATGGTGTGAAGGAAGTGGATAGAGAGAATCTTCTCTTCTCATAATACTGAAAAATGAGGTTATCCACTAAAGATGAATGTTCGAAGAGCTCTTCGAACAGATTAAGAGCCTGCAGCAACCCAGCATCCTAGACGGATGCTTAGTTGAATCCAGAAAGAGATCCTTTTCAATGGTTGCAACCAGGCTCTTGAAGAGCCTTGTCTTGCCCTCTCTTCAATGGCCTTCAACTTGGTGGTTAAAAAGCCTCCTTTTCAGGAAAGCTTTTGGGCCATGAGGGGCCACCTTCGCATGGAATTTTTAATATTCGTCTGTCTTTTTTATACACACAAACACCACTTCTGATGTTTTAATGTTTTTCTGCTGCTTTTAGTGTACTACTGTTACAATTCTTAATATAATTTTCATTTATTGTTGTTAGCCCTCTTGAGCACAACTTTAAAAAGGCGGGATTTAAATGTTTTAAATAATGAAACAGAATTGCTACTAGAAATGAAGTGTTTGGCTCCTCTTGCTGTGGTGTTGTTTTTTTAAAAAAAGAAGAAAACAATTCTTCATGTCTTAAAAATGGCTTTATCCACTTGTGAGTTCTGGGTTATTAAAAAAGCATTGGGGACATACCTTAGTGCTATTTTTATCCCTCACCCAGTGTCTACACATTTTTTATTATTAAACTCTTTTCCAGTAGCAGGTTATTTGCTGTCTGCTCCCAGGGTTTTCATGTCACTTTGGTGCTGTTGCTTCCGATATTCTACAATTTCCTTCTTCCAAAGGACCTGTCATCATGTTGGAGGAGCAGCTCAACAAACTGTACTAGGGGAACTGTTATGACATGCCTGTTGCTATGGTAACCAAAGCAGAGGTGCCTGTCAGGGACCAATTTACTTCTCCAGAAGGACACTGCTAACTACTAAAGGGAAAACATACTTGCACATTATGCTCAGTACAGACTGAAAACTAAAACAACCAGGAGAATTCTGCTTGATAAACATTAATAAAAATTATGCTAGAATGCAGAAGCATTAAATAGAATCCATATTTAAAGAGACAAGTTAACCAGAGAATAAACTCCCAAGAGTAGTGCATTAGTGCTTTGATTTTGGACAGAATAAAATAACAGAATTAACTCTGCAGATAACTTTATGGTACTTGCTAGAATAAACTTTAATACATTTTGTAGGTATTTGGTGAATATTAAACAATCATAAATTAAATAATATCCTAAACCTTATATTCTGGTAATTGATATATTCTTTGTAGAAGAATGCATATATAAAATAACACTCAATCTGTTTTCTTTTGAAAATTAAGACTACATAAAAAGATGCCTGAAGATAAGCTGTGTAGGATGTCCAGAAATTCAGAGGGCCTTTCAAGCAGCATTCAATCTAGTATGAGGGGCTTTTGCAGCAGGAAGTAAAAGCTAGTTCCCTACCACACCTTCCCATGACTGCATTAGCACTTTATGCATTTGCACATGCCTCTGATCTTGGCCTCTGGATCAGAAGTTTTGTTTTGGTCTATAATATTTAGTGGATGATATAGAGAGTTCCCAGCCCTCCCATGAATGCAGATTTTCATGCACGGGAGGGATCCTGGCAGCCGAAAATATCTCCCATATGGAGCAGTGTACACGAGAGACCGTGGCAAAGGCATGGTGTAAGACTCAGATTTTGTTTTTTAACAATAAGACAAAAAATTCTTTAAAAAAAGACCTTATGCTACAGTAATCACATGTAACTTACCACCAGTGGTGTAATATTTCATTAATATTTGGTAGTTGTATAGAAAATGCATTTATTAATGGATTCTTACTGCATTTGCCAAAGCTACTCACATTTGTCAAAAACAGAAAAAGCCTAATGGGAGGAAGCTACCTTACACAGCATTAGCCTATCTAACCAATACTGTCAACTGTGGCTGGCAATGACTCTCAAGCAGAGGCCACTCTCAGCACATGGCTATGCGAGTGGTATGCATGCATTGGGCGCCGACTCAAAGCCTGGTGAGGCGCAGCGCTTAGGGACAGAGGCCTGTGGCTTTGACAGGGTCATAGAGTCCACCCACCTCCTTCCCAAAGCTTAGTGCTTTCCCAGCTTTGGGAAGGAGATGGGAGGGCTCTAGGACCCTGTCAGAGCCCTCACATCTCCTTCCCAAAGCCGGGCAGAGGCAGCATCAAATTTGGCCTCACACAGGGCACCAAAGTTTCCAAGTCTGCTGCTGCTCAGCCCCAAGTATCTGATTATTTAAGTAGAAGAGTAAGAGATTGAACCTTTTGAATACAAAGCATGTGGTCTACCAATAAAAACTTTAAAAAATAGCTGCTGTTTACTTCATCATAGCTTGGAAACCACATGTTCACTGCTGGATCACCCTTTCAAACAGTATGAAAATTGTATTTGCATGCTTGTAGATGAAGTTGCTTAATACCTGGGGAGTGGAGCCATCAAATCCTTGCTGATGAATGACTTTCTGAATAGAATGAAGAAGTCTGGTATAACCACAGGCCATATTACTAGAGAGAAAGGAGAATACTTGACTTAATAAATACATTTTAACAACAGGAATAACATTAAAAACATAGTTTTGCAAATGAAAGGTGATACATTACAATTCCCCACCAAACAATGATATCTTTGAACAAGTTAATCATATGAATATTTACACATGCTTAATAAGGTTGCTTGTAAGGCTTGTAAGTGTGTCTTATCTTAAACGAACACATACAGCAGCCAGTATCTAGCACCTTACCTCCTGCATCCTCCATGCTCTCATTCCTCAGCAAACCAGGAAGACTCACATCAGTGGGTTTTCAGGCTTCAGTATTGGTAGTTGACTTCACAGGCCAATCTGGACCCATCAGGTCTTATAAAAGCCTGACTGATCAGTCTGAACAACTTGTTGGTGTGGGAAACTGAATAGACTTCTCTCACCTTTCCTTCTCATTGGCTGCTCTGGAATCTGACCACCAACCCACATTCAACAAGATCATAAGTCCCTCACCCTCTAGATGACTGTCTGCCTGTTCTAAATTTCAGTCTGTGTGCACCATAACTGGACCCCCAACTGCCCTGGACCTGTGACCTTCTCTGAGCTTGGCAGAGGTGTGACAATGTTTTACATTAATTAGTGTACTCCAACTTAGAACTACTTCAAATGTCATTTATAACAAAGAAAGCACTTCTTTGGAAGGAAGAGCTTATTGTCACATGGACACATACATAAACCTGTTTCATAGAATTAACATAAGAAACACATCACCAAACTACTACAATGCCTTCTATTTTGTTCTATTTGATGTTTCAGCCACATTACCTCTCTACCAAGTCACCCAATTTTTCTCAACCAGTGTTCTTTTGTACACTTTGTCAGTTTCATATACTTATAAGTTATTTTTACACATATCATATTCCGCTTTATTTACCGTGTAAATAAATCCAAGAGGAAAACCTTATTTAGATCATATTCTCAAATTCTATGGTAGGAATCAACATAGCACTAAGAAGATTGCTCTATCAGCAAAAGCATTTCTGCTTGCCTGGTGGAATGATCCTGCCTCCCCACTCCCACCCTGTTCTGGGAGTTCTCTTGACCCCCTGAACCACTTGGGGTGGGTGTGGAGGAATAAAGGGGGAAGTCCCATTGTGCTAGCAGAACCCATTGGTTGAATCAAGCCTTATGCTTACATCTGGACAATTAATTAAATTAAAATACTTTGCTTAGCAGTTGCACATGCTGAAGTGCATTCATTTCAATATGATTACATACCCCTCAACAATTCCAATTTGGCCAGGATGGCCACAGAATGAGTTAAGCCGCCACAGTTTCTGACTTGCTCTCAGGGCACCCCAATTTCTCCCGGCCAGCAGACAGGGGCCACAGAAGCAGCTCCTGGGGCAGCAGCAGCATTGAGAAGAAGGCACAAGGGCTCCTTCCCAGAGCCTTGTTAGCGCTTACTAGGTTTTGGAAAGAAGAAGGGTGGACTCTAGGACCTTTTCCTGGGGAAGTGGTGCATTTCCCTCCCCTGGTGGTGGTGGCGGCAGCCATAACCACAAAACCATGAGCAAACCATGGGGAGGAACATGCATAGTTTGCAAGGGGTCATGTGGGTGGCGGCAGGAAAGCTTGTGGAATCTATCAATTTGTTTAAGGCAGTTAGTTTCACAAATGTCCTGATTTTCATCTGAGTTATGTTGGATAACAGATTAAGGAATATGGAACTGACCTAAAGTTGGAGTTGGGAACCTCAGGCCTGGAGGTGGAGTGCTACCTTCCAGGCCTCTATCTAGTCCTTCAAACTGTCCCCGGACCACACTCTTCATTGGCCCTGTTTCATACCCTGAGAGTTTTTGCATGGGTGGAATGTGTGCTTGAACTCTGGTAATGCCTAAGGAAAAAGAGGAGTGTATAAAGATGTGTAGAAACTATACTATGGTACACAGGTCAAATTTACATTTGTTGGTCTGCTCACTTTCACCTCTGGCCCTGCTTACAACCAGGATGTGGACCTCAGAAGATTATCCAGATAGGAATGCAGCCCCCAAGATGAAAGAGGTTCAACACCGTAGCCTAAAGTCTAGTTTAGAAAGTGCTTAATAATGAAAATGACTGCACATTCATAACATGATCAGCAATCTTTTTCTATATTGTCAACAAATGGCGAATCATAATGGTAAAATTGTATCTGTTATTCTGTGAGACAGAAAGACTCCATAGAACAGATGCAAGTTGAAACATCCCAGCTAAATCCCCTATTTATAATTTAATATGTAAAATATATATGCTCACAGGTGATGTATTTGCTGATGGAAGTGAATTTGTTAACTAGAGCCAACTAATAATCTTGTTAGTAGGATTTGTCATATTTTATGGGCAACAGATATCTACATTGCATTCAGAAAGTCAGCTATTTTTCCTACAGATTTGTTCCCCAACACTTTAATTCAGCTAATGTGTTTAAACAATACGTTCTCATCCTTTTTTGTTTAACCATCTAGTTACTGATAAAGCAGGAGCTTGTAAGGAGGTATCCTAGTTACAACACAGTCTCTGACTTCCTTATTGATAGTTTCTAAACATTTAACAAAGGGAAGGTTATCAAAATGTATGACAAATAGGCCTATTATCGGGAAGCAGACTCCATTAGGAGAGATATTTTAAGCTGTTTTAGCAGATTTATCAGGAAATCCAAGCTCTATGTTCATTTAAGCCCATTTTAATATATACCCCATCGAAGCAGCAAATAATACAAGCAAATGTAGCATCAATTATTCAATATTCTTTCTGGAATACTAAAATATACTGGATCTGTATTATACCCTATTATTAAGAAACCTGGGTGGCAACTGTAAAGGAATATAGCTATCAGATATGACTATTTATCAGGGGTCACCAACCAAGCACCTTCAGTTGTGTCCCCAGACTCTCCCCCGCAAAGAATCAAGTATCTAACCCTCCTAGAAAGAAAGCCATGAAGCAAAATGTGAAGGTACCGTTCTAAGCAATGTCTGTGAAATGAGCAAGCCTGGATGCTCCCACTTGTCAGTGTTTTAGCTGATATGTGAAGTCATAGTTGTGACTGATGAGTGGTTTAGACACCAGGAAATAGGAATTCCTAGGATCCTAAAGAGGTACTGCACCCCCCTTTAATGTGATTTTCCTCCTGCCACTTTATTTTCTAGGCAGATATTCAACAGGTTAAGCCTTTTCTTGTATGGAAATACAATTATGAGGAAAGCATCATGATTGTACTCTCTCTAATATTGTGTTTTGCCAGACCCCATGACAGCCATTGTATGATATGCCACACCCCCATTGCCACCATTTTGGGACTTGCACCCCAGCATTCTCTCAAAATTCAAAATATGCCCACTGGTCCAAAAAGGATGGCAACCACTGGCTTATAGAAATCGCCATTAGCTTTAACTCAAACCTATGGCTGCAATCCAAAGAGTCTCTTTCTGTATAATGTAGGACACTGTGTACTCTATGATGAGACTCTCTCTACTGTTTTATGTGGTGCAGCTCCCACAGCTGTAGTAGCAGGCTGCTTTTAAAACTGCCTTGTCTTGTACGTGGTGGCAGCTGCAATGGCAAAACCCCCCTAAGAACATATTGGCTTCTGTCTGAGGGGGCAGCCAAGCTGTTCTAGCCTATATCATCTTCATCCCAACTGTTTTTTCACCATTACTCTAGCAAAGTGGGGTACTTGAATCCAGCCCAACAAGTTATTTGGCAAGAAAACCATCTGGAAAAGAAAGAATTATTTGAATATCTAAATGCCAGTTCCCAACATTCTGTAACATTGTGCTATGGTCAAGATTAGTTCGGGAGCATGCTTTTGATGAATCAAAACAGATGCCAAATTTTTTGGGGGAAACCCCACCCATGAAAATATTGTCACTGGGTTATAGATTATATAGAACATTTGCTCTGCAGATCAGTCTGATCCTGGCGACTAGGACTGCTGTGGTGAATGGAGCCGGCAGGAAATTAATCCCTATCCCATGATATCCACGAATCTACCCATTTCTCTTTTATATTAATACTTGTTGTTCATTCTTATGAGAGACAGAAAATAGTGTTATGCTCATGGACACTATGGTGACAGAAAATCTGCCTTCTACTTCCAAACTAGTATGGCTTTGCATGGAGGCTGTAGTATATATATATATATATATTTGCTTTCGTAGATTTTCACGGGTACAGGAATGCAGGTTTTGGTGTCCCGGGTGTCTTCCCGTGTAAAAGTTGGGGTGTCTAGGCGACGTTTCGACGAGGTCTCACTCGTCATCTTCATCCTACAGCAGCTCACATATCTGAGCAGGTTTTTAGAAAATATATAAAGCATTCAATATTTTTTAAAAATATATAATTATCCTAATAAAAAAACTATTTATGCCAGAGAATGTTTCCTATTCTTTTTTTTTAACTTATGTATTTATGCGTTTTTTCTCTCTTTTCTCAATGCAAGTATATATTTCTGCTTGTACTGAAAACTGTATAAAGATATTTTAAAGAACAAACTCTAGCACCAGCAGATTAAAACAATAAACAGCATACTACTTCAATATGCAAATTGAAAGCAAATTTGCATATTGAAGAAAGCTAATTGTTCAAGTCATCCTCAGACCGTCTGTGTGCAGAGCTCATGGGGTGCACCAAGGGCCCTTGCAATGCCCAGGTCTTCCTTCCACACAAGCTCCACCAATCAGAGACAACAGGATTTATTAATGCTCAATTTAGACAGATGTTTAAAAAATAAGCTGCAGCAGATATAATAGTGGTCTTGGCAGATTAGTTCTACTACATTTTGTGGACCCACAGAGAAGGACCACAAGCAGCCTTACTACAACACGTATATTGTCCAGTCCAAGATCTCTGCAATTAAGAGAGGAAGCTCCTGCAAGGGGTGGAGCTTAGAATATGGCAAGGAAAGGGTTTTGCTATAAATATTGATGCCTGGCCAACTTACTCCTGACAGTACAATTATTTGCACACAATTTTATGTCTATGAAATTTGTCCTCCAAACCCTCCTCAGTTTTTGTGCAAACAACTAAAATCAGAAGCTTTTCAAACTCACCATGATTTTATATCAGGATACAAAGCTTTTTCTTCAAGAAGGGGAAAGCCATACCACTTTATGTTCTGGATTAATTCTGGAGCCATTGTTTTTGATAAATCAAAGTAGTGTCCAAATTTTGAACAGGCTGCTTGGGTCACCTGTGAAAACAATGCATATGTTTCCCCTGTTAAAATGCAATTAAAAAATTTAATACCCATTTTTTCAACAGGTTATTCACATAATCTGCACTTTAAGTGTAAAGGTAAAGGTACCCCTGCCCGTACGGGCCAGTCTTGACAGACTCTAGGGTTGTGCGCCCATCTCACTCAAGAGGCCGGGGGCCAGCGCTGTCCGGAGACACTTCCGGGTCACGTGGCCAGCGTGACAAAGCTTCATCTGGCGAGCCAGCGCAGCACACGGAACGCCGTTTACCTTCCCGCTGGTAAGCGGTCCCTATTTATCTACTTGCACCTGGGGGTGCTTTCGAACTGCTAGGTTGGCAGGTGCTGGGACCGAGCAGCGGGAGCACACCCCGCCACGGGGATTCGAACCGCCGACCTTTCGATCAGCAAGTCCTAGGCGCTGAGGCTTTTACCCACAGCGCCACCCGTGTCCCTTAACTTTAAGTGTACACTACTACTAAAGTCAGCACGCTACACCAATGTAAGTGGTCACAATACCACCCCCCTCTTTGACACATACACACGTTTTCCCATGGAGCAAACCTCAGCCATTGGGGAATTATTGTGTATGTTAGAATTAAGCAACCATGCAGGCCAGGCTATCAGGGAGGTACTCCAGGCACCCTCCAAACATAATAAAAAGTAATTTTATTTTGGTCTTTCCACTCAGGCTGAAGCTGGAATTGCTGTTTTGCAGCTCGGTCTTCCCTCTTTTTCCTACAGCAAATGTTACTGGTGACACAGCAATTGTGTTTTGTTTACTTCATGCGTCTCCTTGCCCATGCTCTAGTTCAGCTATGCCTGCTGTTTCAGCATATAGCCAGTAAGAGAAACAAAGGTCCTTTATTTCTGCTGCCACCATCAGATATCCATATGGTGGAGGTAGTCTTCTACATACACAAAAGACACACATGAATTTTGGCATTATCTGATAGGCTGAGGATATTTTATCCTACTGATTAGTATCCTAGCTAAAAGTAGTTTGCTTTCAAATAACCATGTTTCTACAAAAACAACATAAGAGCAGTGTGCTGACCCATTGACTAAAACATATAGGAAGCCATTGTGGACCATTTTGTCCAACATTCTGTTCCCACAGTGGCCAACTGGATGCCTATAGAAAGCCCAGAAACTTTCCTAGGCATGTTCCCCAGCAGCTGGTATTCAGAGGGATAATAGCCTCTGGCACTGGAGAGATTATGTAGCCATCATGACCTGATTCACTGGAGGATGCAGGCAGTTCAGCCTTCTCATTACATGGACATTGCTATCAGCTTGAGAACACCAATTACCGGTACATGTTTAGAAGGATGGGAAGTCTCTATGTAGCAGCCCTGTTCCACTTTCCTTCAAGAAACATGAGGAGGAAAAATGGTCTGGAGTCATATTTCAAAAGTGCCAAAAATGTGACTGCTGCTGACAATACTAAGAGGCACAATAATGTGACTGATGCTAAAAATGATTCCCAGTCCAGTTTTGGCAACTGTGCACACAGTTTGACTGCTGAATGAAGAAAAGAAGCCCCAGGGAACTGCAAATGTAGCTTTTTTGTGTGTGCAATGGTTCCCAGTGTAACTGGAGATGTGAACTGCAGAAACATGCCTCCTCATCCCGTTTGTTCTCATCAGATTGCAGTAACCAGAGAGAAAAGGCAAAATATCACTTGGATATTTTGAACAGTTCAAGAATCACATTTTCAAATTACTTTTATAATAAAAGTCATTTTACAAATAATTTGAATTTTGTTTTACTCTTTCAAATTACTGTAAATGAGCCAGGTAACTAAAATATTAATGGCTGCATGCATGAACATTTTGAGGAATAACTTCTATTGTGTTCTCTCTCTCTTGTTTCAAATACATGAAAACAAACGAACAATATGTTACTGGGACTGCAATCTTAGACACATTTACATGTGATTAAGTGCCACTGGACTCAACAGAATTTACTTCTAAGTAGACATCTACAGAATTTTGCTGTGAAAAGGTTGTATTGTAGCACAATGACAATTTGAATGTTTTTTAATTTTATATAAACTAGAAGTTATTGTAGCTCCACTTTTGCACACATACAAAAGTGAGAAAACACTGTTCATTGTCACTCAACCTTCTTGTTCTGTTGTGTGTCTTAACTTCACATCCTCCTGCCCATTTTATAGAAAACTGGCCAGACTTGTGGGTGGCCATTCATTCATAAAGAACTGCTCTGCTGAATACCAGGTTTTTGTATTTATAATGATATAAATTCAAAAATTAATCAAATCTCTGTGTCTATTATGGTTTTTATTTTAAAAACAATCAGTAAAAAATGATCATTAAAACTGTATTCCAACAATACATTGTTTGAAAAAAACTAAGGTAACAGAAAAAGTAAAGCTTTAATAAGCAAAAAATAAAAACAGTAACAAATTCAACACTGCTAACAAGAAACAAATTTTCGTATAACCTTGGTTTCTTATACTATACCAGAATGCAGAAGGTACTTAGCAATTATTTAAAAAATGCTATCTGTGTTTTTATTTTAGTTATTAAATGTTACAAAGTGTAATAAAATAGAACAAAATCTGTCAATAAAATAAAATAAAATATGAGTATTGTTTAAAAATAAATTCAGAAGTTCCAAGTTATTTTGTTTGGGCGTTCTCAAAGCAATTTAAACAAGAGCTGTTCTTTGCCCTATAATCTATCCTTTATCCGGATTACTGATCAGAATGTTTTTACTGCAATCTCTGCCAGAGCTCATCTTTTTATTGTGTAAGTCCAAGCCCCCTTAATGTTTTAGAAAGGCCTTGACTAACTGAACTTTGATCTGATGTCTTCATTGAGAAAAGCTCCAGGTTGCCTATTTCAGATGCAAATCCTCACTGAGGCCCAAGAGAGTTTAGTACAGACAGCAAAAGAGAAGAAACAAGAAGTTTCCAGGATCCTCTTTGAGAATCCTGGGGAACACTGGTGTCCCTAATCCACACAGTTGCATGGATTAAGGTAGGTGATAACCTTTCTTGATTCTAAAGAATAAGCACAGTGCCTACAAACTGGGTGGAGACTAGGATTTGGTCGCAATAAAACACCAGGCAATAAAAGCCTGGCTATGTCAGAAGCCTATGAATAGACCTCAATGTACCACATTCCCAGGCCTAGTGGGGAAGCTTGCAAAAAGCCCACCTGAATCAAGTAAGCATGAATAATCTATCTTAGCAGCAGCATGACCACAGAGACAGAGCAAAAGGGAGGAAAAAATACATTTCTCTTAAGCGTGAGATAATAAATTTATTAGCTGAATGTGGTTTCAAGCCTACCTTTTCCTGGGATTCCTATGAGCTAGCCTGCACAAGGAGAAATAACCTAAGTTGTCATGGAGCAGAATATGTCTTTATGCTACCGTCTGCCGTTAACGTTTCTAATTGCAATACTAATGTGCTAGAAATTCTCAGATTTAGGATGAATCAAGGCAGAAAATTGATTTCATGCTGTGACAGTTTATATATTGCCCTAAGAATACAAGCAGTTCATTCATTAAAAGAAGGAGTATATGTGTGTGTGAGAGAGAGGTGGGGGACAGCGGGGTAAAGGAACACACACTTTACCTGCTTGATACAAGCTACAAAATACCTACTGTTTTTACTTTGCCTATCAAATGGTTAGCCAATTACAAATAAAATAGTTAAACAAATACCCAAGCCTCTGGAATTTGCTGCCCAGACAATGTACCTGCAACATTAGAGTTGTCAAACTGCAAGTCAGAGATCCTCCTAACACATTTAAAATTCCCAAGGCAGCATGAAGGGGATGAAACTAATGTGGATCTCTCAAATTTCTCTACCACTACTCACTCCCCTATGCTTGTGTGGAAATTACAAGATACATTTTATTTTAAAAATATCAATTACTAGTTAGGATACATTTACCTATACTTTTGATACTGAGATTTAATTTTCTGGTATGTTGGGTTGATACCTACCAATTTAATCTGGAAACGTAACATATGCATAAAATGACTTTCTTTCCCCCCCAAAAAATTGCTCTTTATTTTCCAACTAGTCCTTAGGAAAACTAAAGATATACTGGACAGGTGTCATGACTGGTGTGAGGTTTCTGGGAGGCCTGGGCAAGATACCTTCCTGGTCCTTTCAGCACTTCCCTGGTGCACCCCACAAGCTTACCAAAGAATGGAGTGGGGAGTGGCAGTGGTGCCGTGGGCAGCAGTGGGGACAGGGCTGGGCAGGCAGCCCAGCCCTTTTCTTATCAGAGCTGTGCCCTGAAATAAGTAAAGGTAAAGGGACCCCTGACCATTAGGTCCGGTCGTGACCGACTCTGGGGTTGCGGCGCTCATCTCGCTTTATTGGCCGAGGGAGCCGGCGTACAGCTTCCGGGTCATGTGGCCAGCATGACCAAGCTGCTTCTGGCGAACCAGAGCAGCGCATGGAAACGGCGTTTACCTTCCCGCCGGAGTGGTACCTATTTATCTACTTGCACTTTGACGTGCTTTCAAACTGCTAGGTTGGCAGGAGCAGGGACCGAGCAACGGGAGCTCACCCCATCGCAGGGATTCGAACCACCGACCTTCTGATCGGCAAGTCCTAGGTTCTGTGGCTTAACCCACAGCGCCACCCGCAACCTTAAACTAAGAATCCTAATTCTAGTGCTAATAAAACTTTAAAAACCAAAAACAAAGAGATGATGGCATTTGCTGCACCATGCAAACTTCTGGTGCTGGGTCTGAAAGCCCTGATACAAGTTACCTTAAATAAATAAATAAATTGTGCCAGCTAGGAAATAGGAGAGCAGGAGCAGTTGACAGGATGAACACAGCTTTCGGTGTGCAAAGCACTTCTGTATGGATTTGAGCACATGCCAATTTCCCTTTCCAGTTATAGTCCCCTAGTAGACTGCTGTCCTAGAGAGTCCCTCTGATCTTGGGGGACAGCTTGTTTGTGGGTCATGACAGACTGCCCTGGAAGTGGATGCCGAAAAACCCTCATGCATTTGCAGCCCTTTGAATTCTGTCCAGACTCACCCAAGGCAGAGAGGAAGGTACTGACTAACAGAAGTGACAAGGTAGGTAATGGAGAAATGTTTCATAGAATCATAGAATTGTAGAGTTGGAAGGGACACCAAGGATCATGTAGTCCATTCAGAGACAAGGATTGCAAGGTAGTTTTAAAGAGTGGCTGGAACTGGAGCATGAGCACTTGGCATTTAGTTGTTCAGAGGTGAGTGGCAAACACTAGAATTATGCATGCATCAGGAACGTATAAGGATATCTGCTCTACCACAATTACTCATGACCGAACAATTTTGCCAGGAGGCTGAACATTCCCAATGATACCTTAGAGAGTTTTTACTTGTAGTTCCCAACTCTGACCTCAGTCCAGTCTTAGTTAATAAAGCTTTAGCTATGCAACCACCAGTTTAAATTGGATTACACCTCACATCAATTTTAATCACATATAACCTCCATTATAATATAAAATGAAACATGGTATATTATTGGAGCAAACTGGGAAGCTTAACTGTACTTCTCAAAAATATCAGTTTTTTCAAATTTTGGTATTCCTTCCCCCTACCTCCACATATGAACTAAGTCTGTTTTGTGATGGTTCAACATGCTATATCAAGCTTCATATTAATAAAAATTGATGAGGTCACATAACCATCCTGGAGGGTCTTTGATTTGGCATGTCATCATATATAAATCTTCTCTCTGATATGAATACATAGACATGTCTGTGCAATTACAAAGAAAACCAAACATGCCAAGCCTTGTAAAATCATTTTGTCATATTCCAATTATATTCCTTAGAATAAGCCTGAACTTACTAGGCAGTTCACTACACTTACATCAGATATATAAAATACTAAAGCCAAACAAAGCAAGTTCCTATGGACACCAAAATATTGCATGTAATTTTAGAGATTTCACCATACCATTATTCTGCACAAGAAAATAGCTAGCCTAGGGAGAAATATAATTCACAAAACACTAACAACCGTAAACTCTGTAGAATTGACCACTGGGCTTGTTTCTTACATGCTGCCTTCATAACGATTAGTTTATAGTGACAGTGAAGCTGATATAATCTCAAGTGCTTACTTTACTTATTACGCACATGGATAAGCAAGTCAACAGCTTGATTCAATTCCATGCTTTCACTAGAGGGATCTAAGTACAATTCATTCAACCTATATAAACGCTTCTATATTCAGATAAATTTATAAAGCTTTCTTGTATAAATGGAAAGGATACTTCTTGAAAACCTGTGTAGTAAATTGTACAGCTCTGATGCTGAAGCCTTTACAATTTAATATTTACTGTTCTTATGACAGTATAGCCCGCTAATGGTAGTACTACACATTTTCTTGGGAAACAAGAATTCCCAAGCCAATGTTTGCTAATGAAACACAAAAGGTTGAGTGGGTCCATTTGTGGAGAGAATCAACAGAAAAGAGAGAGGTGTTCAACAATTTATGCTGACTCTCCTCCCAAAATACCTCCCCCAGCCATTCCCCACACCAGCAAAGTGACTGGAAGAATATTTTCAATGGCTAATCAACAGAGGATGAAAGAGTTATTAAGTGCTCTTCCACTCTGCTATTTAATATTATAAGCCTAAGGTGGGGCAAAACATTTTTTGGAATAAGTGCTAAATGGTGTAGTTAGCTTATCATTTTAACAGGAATTTTTTGTCAAGAAATACTTTCAGTTTACCATACACCATTATTTGAAGAAATTACTATGAAATAAAATTTACCTCCAGTTTTGGTATGTTCTGGTAACGCCAGGCTATTCTCATGGATTCCTGAGAATCTTGTTTGGACTTCACAGCTGTTGCTTCTTCTTCTATTTCATTTACAGCGGTATTCAGCAAAGGTGAGGGAAGTTCCTGAATGAAAAATAATAAATGTTTTAGATGAGCTGCTTTTATTAAACATTTAGGGAAATATTGTTAAAGAAGATTTAACAGCTCACAGCAAACATTAATGATGGTATTGGCAGCTCACTTCAAGGTACTAAAGGAACCAGTGGATGTACCATCAGAACCTTGGTCTATAATACTTGAGAAATTCCAGAGAATGAATAAGGTGTCACAGGAATAGACACAGGTAAATCTTGCCCCAATTTTCACAAAAGAGGAGGAAGGAGAATCCAGGAGACTACAGACTAGTCAGTCTCACTTCGATACCAGAGGAGTCAGTTTGTAAGCATCCTGATAACAATGCAGTGATTAGCAAGAAACAGCATGGATTTGTCAAGAATAAATCCTACTAGCTAGGCTAATCTGATCTCTCTTTTTTATTGGGTTACTTAGTAGACTATGGGAAGCCTGTCAATATAATTTCTAATGATTTCAGCAAGCCATTTGACAATGTCCCCTTTTATATTCAGTTTGGAAAGTAATTAAATGTGGGCCACATAATAATACCATCATGTAGATTTACAGCTGGTTGGAACACTATACTCAAAGAGTGCTCATTAATAGTTTTTCATCAACCTGCAAGGAAATTTTGAGAGGACTACCTTCGGGTTGGACCAGGTGCTCTTCAATATTTTCATCAGTGACTTAGATAAAGGGGTGGAGAGAACCTTTATCAGATTTGAAAAACACACAAAAACAGGAAGGATAGCTAGTACTTCAGGACTGAAATTCAAGATCTTGATAGGAAACTAGGCTGGAATTCAGTTGAGACAAATGTAAAGCTGCATTCAGGCAAATATAAAATGCACAAGAATAAGATGGGAGATACTTGGGTTGGCAGTAGTGAAAAGGGTCTGTCAAGCTGAACATGAATCAACAGAGTGCTATGGTTTAAAAAAACAAACAAAAAAAACTTAAGCAATTTTAGGCTGCATTAATTAGCCTATTATATATTTTAGAAATCAGTTTACCAGTTTGGTAGGTATTAGGCCAACTCTAAAAAAAATTGAACCAAGTTTTGATTGATCAAGTAGTAGATTTTTGTCTATGTTTGGATACTATTGGACGCCATTTTCAATCAAGATGGCATTCTCAAGCAATACCAGGCACAAGGCTGCTAGTAGAACCATAGTAACCAAAATCACAGGAAGTAATAATTCCATTTGATTCTGATCTCATATGAATAACTGTGTCCAGTTTGGGGTGCTGCACTTTGAAGATATATTATAGACAGGGGTTGGCTAGGTTGGCCCCTGCCAAGGGCGCAGGCTTGGGGGGGCCCCACAAAAATCATGCCTCTCCACTCTGAGGAGGAAGGCAGGCGGACAGACAGAGACAGACAGATAAGAAGAAGAGGAGGAGGAGGAGCAAAGTAGACCTGACCCGACCATGATGACTGCAAAGGAAGTCACTGGTGGAGCAGGAAAGGTAACAAAAAACAAACTTTTTGAGTTTCTGGTTCATGGTTTCTCCTGGCTTTGGAGGCACCAATACATCTCCTTGCCAAGAGCACAAGAGTTGGATGGTGCCGATACAACTCCTTGCCAAGGGTACAAAGAAGCCTAGGTATGCCTGTGATAAGAGACAAAATGAAATGGGTTCAGGGGAGGACAACAAAGCCTGTCAGAGGTATGGAAAACAAGTCTTCTGTGGAAAGGTTGAAATAACTGGATATTCTTTGAATGCAGGGAAGATGAGAGCAGACATGCTAGCATTCTACAAATGCCTCAAGAACTAACACAAATAAGAGAACAAAGTTTTGTTCTCTGCTACCCCAGAGGGCAGGACTAGATCTATTCTGTTTAAGTTTTATTAGAGTAGGTTTCAGTTGAACATTAGGAAAAATGTTAAAATGTTAAGAGAAGTTTGACAAGGGAACCAATTACCTGGAAATGGGCTGTCCTCACTGGAGGTCTTCAAGCAGAGGCTAGAACGTCATGTGTTGGGGGTGCTCTAGATATGGATTTTCTGCTTTGAGCAGGGACATGAACTAGCTGGTCTACAAAGCCCATTCCAATTCTAAAGCCATTTATCATTTATTTATAGTGACACTTAATTCCAGGGATGGTGAACTATGGGCACATGGGCTGGGGTTGGCCTCCCACAAGAATATTTTTTGCTCCTGCATTACATCAGAGACATTTGCAGTGGCAAAAGTAATCCAAACCACATGTAAGTCGCATGCCTTCTTCCCTGATTCTGAGAGAAAGAGAAAGGCAAGCATAGGACAGGAGCTAGATTACATTATGGAATGAGACTTCCGGGTTGACGCGATCTGGAAATGGCGGATTCCCTCCGAGCTCCGGAGGGAACCGGCTCCACTGAGGATGGGTCTTTGCCGCGCCGGCGACGCGGGGACCCTTAAAAACCGCAGGCGCGGAAGCCTGCGGACTGAAGACTCGGCGGGTGCCTTAAGCGCCCCCCCTGATTCGCAAAGAGCCTTTTTAAAGGCTGCGGAGGGGATACGGGGGTGGCGTGGCACTGAGAGTCGATCGCTACCTCGGTGGAGTGAAGCCGCGAGCCATGACCAGAGAGCGCTGACTTCCTTCCTTGAAAATCTGGACTGAAAGAATTACCCGTGAGTAAAACGGATTGGGACTTTATAAAAATTCTACCTTGAATTGGAGACGATCGGGGGGGGGGTGTTAAAAGGAAGTCCGCACCCCCCCCTTGCAGACGACCTAAGCAACGGCATAAGAGCTAAGCTGGAGAGCCTACCCCTGGTGGGGTGAGTAAAGGACATTAACTTCCAAGATTTAACTAAAGGAAATTTTGGGCTGGAGTGGAGTTTTGGGAACCTTCTTTTTGTTTCAAACAACCCCCCCTCCCGGGCTCGGGAACGTCCTGCCTTGGTGCCTGTGTAAGAGCTGCGGAGTTTGACAGCTGTCAAAGCTGTCAAACGGCCGGTTTAAAGTGGAAAAATTGTCATCTCTTGACTAAGACGAGCTATAATTGAGCAAAAACTGTTGGAAACAAAGTAATAATAATCAGTTAAAGGATTGTTGGTGAAAAGGCTAATAAGTAACCAGATTCCCCCTAGGGGGAATTCTGTGAAACTACAATGGATACAATGGCTGTGGAAGGAAAGTTACTAGTGGAAATCGAAAGGATGTTTCAATTGGTGGGAATCTTACAAGAGCAGAGTTTGGCCATGAATGAACAACTTGAGACTATGACCTTGGGAACAGGCAACTCTGCTCTTTGTATTGAGGACCTCAACGAGAAAGAATTCACAGCTGAATGGGAAACAATACCCATAGAGTTGGAAGAGACTAAACAACAAGAAAAAGAAGAAGTAATCCTGGGAAGCAACAACCAAAAGTTGACATCTGTGGAACATAAGCAAGGAAATGCTGGGAACATATCTACTACAAGTCTGCGAAAGATACAGAAGAAGAAGGAGGAGGTCCCGGGACAAAATGGAACACAGAAATTTAAAATAAAGAAATATGACTCGGGCCTCCGTTTGGACTTTGATCTTGAAGAGACAGGTTTTGTGGAAATTCTTCAGCAGTTACTTTTGAATCTCCTTGTGGGAAGAGGAAACACGTTGATGGTGAAAGAACTTTTCCCAGACTTGATGACTGACATAAAGGACTACCAACGGGACAGGCGGAGAGGGACTGAAAAGGATTTGAAAGCTTCGGACGTGAGGAACCCAGGCTGAGAAACTTGATTTTGGATCTTTATTGGGAAGGGACAAAAACCGGGGATGGGAGGGAGGGAAGAAGAGACTTTTAAAAACTCTTAAGACTTTTAGGTTTGGTTAATATGACTCTTAATTAAGACAAAATGAAAATCGATGGAAGAGAACTTAAGTCCAACTTAGGAAAATTAATCTTTATTATAAAATAAGGTAATAAGATGAATAAGATTGTTAAGAGGAGAAACACCAACTTGCTGATGTAATTTTGAAACTGGGATGCACGAGGGGAGGTGGGGGGAAGTCAGGGAACAAGTTTATGAAACGAGGGTGTGTTGATTTTATACATGTTTTTGTCTTTCTTTTTTCTTTGTGTATGTTTTGTCTTTATAAAACCAGAAAACCAAATAAAAATTTTATTAAAAAAAAAAAAAATAGATTACATTATGGAATGAACTGAAAAAAAAGTTTAAAGGATCCTTTCCTAAAAACCCAGAAGATTACCTTCTGGGTATAGTAAGGACAGAAGTCCTCCCAAAACAAGTGAGTCTATTGATGTATGCGACCACAGCTGTGCAGATTTTACTTGCACAAAAGTGGAGAACAGATGCGGGTCCAACAAAAGAGGAGTGGCATCATAAAATGCTGGAATACTCGGAACTAGTGAGTATGACTAACAGAATAAGAAACAGATAAAAAAAAACTTAATGAGGATTGGATGTTATATATAGAATATGTGAAAAATTATTATAATAAGACAGTCAATCTAGCAGGATGAGCATAATTCAGCAGCATAAGTTATAACATGCGATAAAGAGGAGAGAGGAAAATTTAGAAGAACAAGAAGATGTGGATAGGTTGGAAATAGAGAGGAAACCAGGGAAGGAGTGGAAGGGAATACATGAAAAGAAGTTTTCACCCCCCCCTTTACACACACCACACACACACACACACACACACACACAGAATGCAATAGCTGTTGTACTAATGTTGATACACCAGTGAAGAACTGTACTAGAAAAGCAAATAAAAGCAACAACAACAACAATAATAATAAGATTACATTATGGAGGCTGCAGGGCAGCAAGTGTGGGTTGTTCCTTGACATTTACTCCTTAAGCTTTTCTCAGAAATGAGTATTGCCACAAGGCAGCAAAGGTTTAGGATCAGAGTTTTCCTTATCCTAGATGAGCTACCTTCCCAGGTTCACGAGCCCCTCATTTCCCTCTATAGCACATGACCACTGGACCCACTATTTGTCTTGTGCACTCAATCCACCAGAGCCTGTCATCACATGCATGGGAAGTCCCAGCAGTTCAAAGCC